GGCTTGCTGATGCGAAAAAGCAGGGAGAGACTGTTATGAAAAGTTCTTAAAGCTGTTGCAGCTCTGTTTTATCTGTCCGAAAAGGGCATCGGTTGATGTTACGATGATAGATGATAGATAGGGTAGCAAGGGAACAAACAGACAAAACTCCATTTCTGCTGGGAGGGTACATCAAAACCCGTCTAAAAGCCGCACTGGGCCACGGTGCAGTGGACTTGGAAGAAATCAGAGGGGAAGCTTAGGTCCCACCTAATCATGAAATCCAACATCTGTACAATTGGAATGTAATGTTGGAATTTAGAAAATGTTTTTTTTTAAATGAGGGTTGCTTAACAAAGTAAACCAGCCTGCTCACGATTTCTGCCCGATACAATTTCAGTTGTTAATCCATCAAATAAATAAGAAGTAAAACGTTTGTACCATAAAGAGCTTTCAATTGTGCAATTAGTCCAGTGGTTAAACATTTTAGTCATGTAATGTTTTGTTATGATATTTTATACAACTATGGCTTTATGTGCACAATATATCAATTGATTTCTTAAGATAGAACTGAAATTATCAGTTAATGACAAATCATTCTTTCATTTCCTCTCCTCTTTTTCCTATTAAATGTATTTGTGACTTTTATTAGCTGCCTCTGAATGAAATGTCGAAAGTCTGCAGTATAACAATCTGCCTCTGCTGCATCCTCTACTTTCTCTACCGAGATGCTTATCTTATCTTTGACCCATGCTTCTTCAAATAAACAAAAGTGATGAATGAGCCTGGAGTTTTGTTTATGGTGGAGGCAGCACGCACAGATGGAGAGAGATTTCTAATATAAAGTCGTGGTGCATTTAAAAAGGCGGCATTTAAGCTGGTGATGTTTGTTTTTGTGTCACTGTAGTAAATTCTGACTAATGCAATGATTTGATGATTTACAGAAGTTTAATCTGCTCAAAACTCTTGTTGTGATACCTTCTATAATGAAAAGCACCAGTCTACCGCTTATAGTTGTATGTCTTCAACCATGAAACTGTGCAAGGTGCCACAAAAAACTGGAAACATGTGATAGATAGCCTCGTTCTATCCAAAAAGGAGAATTCTGTGTCAGACCGACATTTGGTTCGTCCTTGCTAGACTACTGTCACAACATCAATCCAACGTGGTAGACTGTAAAAAGCCATTAATACATTGCGTATCCACTCAGTTGTGGAACTTTTGTCACTGTCACTAGTCTGTTCGGGTCCACTGGGTCCCTCTGCCGCCGACAGCTTGCAGCATATTTTATGGTGTGGACTCAGTGTGCTGGCAACAAATGTGCCTTGATGTGCCTTTCTTTAGAAGAAAAATGTATAGCAGACAAAGAAGAGGAAGAGTAAAAGAAACATACGGGTGCTTTTTTGTGAGTAAGAAGAAGATGGATACCCATTATGGTCACTTAACAATGGACTGAAAAACGATTGGGGGAGACAGTTTTCGTGGGAAGCTTTGTTGCAGAAACTTGTGTGTGTATCTGCAGAATCCTGATATGTTGGCATACATAGTGGCCGGCAATGTGTAATCCCTAAAGATGGAGACCGCCACAGTCTTTGCAGGAACATGTCTTGTTCTGGGATAGCGGCATTTTTCACCAATAACAAGTGTTACACATGTAACTCGTCATTTAGTATTGTCATAAATATTATTTGTCATTTGGTCACCCTTAATGGGACGCAATAGAACTTTAAATGCGCTATAATAGTTGTTGTTTTTTAAACAGACAAATGCTATTTTGCCTTGTTTAAAATCTCTAGAAAAGCAGTGGTTATCTAACTGATTTTTTTCTTTAGTGAGTTTAGTCAATTCAACAAAACAGATTAATTTGCTATCAGATTTTGTCTTACTTTTCACTCCAGTAAGTTGAAACTCTGGAGAAAAAAAAATTGATCTTACTACATCTAGTTCAAATGTGAACTCAGCAGGAAGTTGGCAAACGCTGCAGAAGGTCTTTGGAGAAAACATGATGGGTGCTTGTAGCTATGAATTAATAACAAGCAAAAAATATACAGAATCAACGAGGCACCTTCTTCAAACCCAGTATTCAGTGATGCTCAAAACATCTACTCTAAAAATCCAGTTCACTTCAGCTTCTTACCATTGCAGATGTGGATGTGTGTGTTTTCATCCAAAACACCAACATTATTAATGTTTATCGTTTGAAGATGAAGCTGGAAGTAGATGAAGAGGCCAATCTGCCAAACAGTTTTAACCTCGGTGAAAGTTATGGGGAATTAAAGCGGCACGCCTGAACCTTGGGTTCTCCTCTCTGATCTCTGTGTGTCATGGAGATGGATAGTGATTGTGTTATAGTGTATTGTTGTCTGCAGCGAGTGCTAAACGGTGTGATGATGACACGCAACGTAAATCTGCTCTGGCTGTCACAGCAACCAAAAGCTGTGTTCATGCCTTTTGGTGTATGTGTGTGTGTGTGTGTTTCTCGTTTGCATGCACAGGGCACCACAGCAGTAATTAATGGCTGGCTGCTAAATGGTGCAATGTGATCCCACAAGGTAATGAGAAGAGTGGGGCCGGGCATGACAATCAGCTTGCGAGAGAGAAAACATTGGGGTCCAAAGGTGGCATCCGGATCACACAGAATAAAATAATTGACACACACAAATCAGAATTTTTTTTGTTTACAATCATTATGTAAAAAATGGTATAAACTGTATATTATTGTATATTATTATTGTATAAATCTGAGTCTATTAGCTTATTTGAACGATTTATATTGTCTGATCTTTATGTGTGTTTTTATTGGAGCTTACATTCCAATAAAGAACAAAAAATAACAAGACCCTTTTTCGGATTCAGAATTAAGTAACCTCTCAAAGCAGAATGATATAATGGCACACCAATGGTCACTGGAGCCTTGTTAAGGAGAGATCTGCTTTCCTCTTCTGTTAAAGCTGCTGCTGTTTAGTGGTGAATATGACTCTCTCTCTGCAGGCAACAAGGGAAGCCCAGCAGGGTTTTATTAAAGCGCAGCTTACGTCCTGTGTGTCACGGAGAAAGCTTTTACTGTCACGGCTTTGTACATTACAATATCTTTGTTGTGATAGTTATTGTCAAGGCTACTTCTGCAGCTGGTGAAGATGCTGTATGTGGCTTACTTCTGCAGAGCAGTGCTCTGCAAATGTTAACAGTTGCCATCAGACTTATGAAAGCTTTATGACCCAGTCTGGTTGTTGTGACAAAACTCTGTCTGAGCGTTATGGTACCTGTGTTTACTTATCTACAGGATCAACTTAGTTCTCTGTTTCAGAAACCCTCATCTACTTGTTTTATTCTGCATGACAGAGACATAAATCGAAGTTGGCAGCAGAAAATTGCTTCAATTATTTACAGTCTAAGACACCCTTGCATAAGAAGGGCTGCACACCTGCTTTACACAGTTCAGACAGTGAGCTTTAAAAGACTGTGCTTGTAGAAAAGTGCTCTTTTAGTTGATTTATGTAAACTAGTAATGCGCTGTTAGTTGGGCTTCACTGTTCTGTTCTGTTTCATCAGTTGGGTCAGCTGAGTGTGCATTTCATTTGTGCGTATGAGTGTTTCCGATGGGTTTAGGTAGAGATTACCATTAAGGTATTTACGAAGATAGTCTGAGAGGCCCTGAGCTCAGTTTATATCTTGTCTTTTATAAATGAATGCCTTGTGCACTTCAGTATCTTAAAAGAAAATGCATTAGATGTTTAATAATTCAGGATTAATTCCACTCCATTTGATATTATACATAACTGCTATCGTCACATCTTAACAGTCTGATAAACCTGAAATGGGGATATGCTATTACGTGTGTTTTTTTGTCTTGGAAATTGCTTTTAATGTTTAATGTTAGTTTTATTTGAGCCAAATTGTTCAGTGCTTCTCCGGGAGGACTGATTTTGTTCAAGTGCTGCTGATCAACCGGGGAGTCTCACAGCTTGATGTCACATTCTCATGAAATCCTAATTAATCAGATCTACACATCATTACCACCGAGACACCATGGGACTGCACAGACATGCTCTTTCTCTCTGCTCTTTTGCATGTCCACGCCACTTTCTGTTAATGCATGTCTATGTCTTTTCTCCATCTCCATCCTCATATTCAGTTTGGCCTTTTTGCCATCCAGGGAGTGCATCTCAAATTCACACATCAGCCTAAATCTGTCAATTTTCCACTGCAGTCAAAACCATTTAAACTTATCGCTCCATCTTCTATTACGTACCAAACCCAGTTCCATCCTTTCTTCTTTTCCTCCTCTCCATCTGTTTGTGTGTTCTCCATCACCTTACTGGCGTTTTTCTCCAATGTCCTCCAGCACTGCTGTCCTCAGGCCCCAAAACTTTGCAAGCAAAATTTTGGGAAATAAGCCAATGTTGTAGTTTTCAATTAAATTGATTGTGAGCTGGTGAAACTCTTTCAAATCAACATAAAAATAATTTTTGCTTTGCATTTTCCTGATTATCCACTGATAGATTTAAAAACTTTCCCCACTCTACTTTTCCTTTAAACCTGATTTTGGCTAATAGGATTTAACAGATCTGTCAACTTGAAAATAGAAATTAAGCTTTTACATTAAGAAAGAGGTTACAGGGTGCCACTTTTCGTCTACACGGTACTTTGAATGTCATTAGTTGCTTTAAGAATGTGTGATGTTGCGGAGACAGAGGAAGTTAACTGTGAACTTTGTAATGTCCACCCTTTAATAAGCTGGTTTCAGGGTCTGTAAAAAGAAAAAAGTAATTAAATCCAACTTTAGACTTTAGACTGTTGAGGTCTTGAGATTAAGAGGTTTTTGGCATTTTTTTTCTAACTTCAGCACTAATTATCTTTAGAAAGATTTGTTAAATCGCTCCAAGGAATCATGAATGTGAGAAAAATACTGCTTTTAAAGTAAATATCAGAAGGGAAATCAGTATAAGTTGGACCAAGCAGCATAATTCCAACGCCATGCTACATTTCTTAATAACTGGCTTTCCCTTTCTCTTTCACAGATCACATTCTTCATGCTGCTGTCTGCAGTGTGTGTGATGCTCAACCTGGCGGGCTCCATCCTTTCCTGCCAGAACGCTCAGCTTGTCAACTCCCTGGAAGACTGTCAACTGGTGAGACCAACTGGACATTAACCCATGCAAATTCCACTTAGACACTGTTCTCAAAGTGAGGTGTCCATTATAAAAACTCATGTTAAGGCACTCTGTGGAGTGAATAATCAATACTTACCTGTAAAGACATAAGACAGGAAATGTAAATGAAAGTAGTGAAGCTGCAACCAGACACACAAATCCAACAAGATGAATGACGGCCTCACACAGAGCCAGGCCTGGCCTGCATGACAGACCTTAAAACAACAGGTACAATTCATTTCTGTACATAGGTTAGACAGAGTTGAAATGATCCTGTCAGACATGCTGATAGTAACGAATTGAGGGCAAAAAAAAAATGAGCAGGCCCTGAATCCATCAGACATCTTGGGGTATTCTGTCTGTGTTCATTTAAGCCAAACAAATTAGGTCTGGTCCATGCCAAGCTCTCGATATATAGTTAAGTCAGGTCATACCTGATTCTCACATGTGTGAAATGTCATAAACCAGTAGGTTACAGAATAAAGTAAAGATGCTGTTTCAATATGTGATTACAAACTTTCCCCAAACAAACTCATAAGTGCATTCAGTTGTTAAAAAATATGTAAAGAGCCTAATAATGTTTTAAAGTTATCTATTCAATCTACATCAGGAGCGTAGGATGTACATAAGGTTCAGTGAGGACGTCTGCCAGTTTATGACCAACTCAGTGTGCATGAACAGATTGCGTTTCTGTTGATGTTGATGCTTTGCACGTTTTTAGAATGCATTCCACCATAAATGAGCAGTTTTGGGGACATACTGAGGACTATAAGAAGTACACCTATAAGTACTTCTATGTATAAGTACATATTATAAACTCTATACTATGTATTAAAGTTTGTGATTTAAAGTAGATCAGTTCAAAGGATGGAAAATGTAGCTCGGAAATAGCAGACCTTATTTTTGTTTTTCTTGGCCACTAACTTTTATGTTGGTGAGTAATAAGCATGTGATACTTGAGTCTAAATGTACAAATGTCAGAATGTGGTGGCCTGAAAGGCTGTACTTCTGTCTGAAGTAGGCGGCAGAACTGAGTCAGTACCAAAAAACTAACCCAAACTGTTGATTTATGACAAGTGACTTTATTTTGCCATGATCAGCCAGAATCAAATATGAATGCAACGTTGATACAAGAGCTACAAAAGGTCATTAAGTTATTTAGTTTTGCACTGCAGTAAAGTTGGCGAGACTAAACAAAAAAGGAAAAAACAAGCAGTGGTGAAACCAAGTAGGAGATTCTCAGATATCCTGGCTTTAATTCTGCATTTGATACTGACACACCAGTAAGGGTCAGTATACTTCACCAGAAGTGCCTGTCAGTGCTGAAAGAAACTTGCTCTCTGACTCTTTTGATGTCAGATGTGTGGGAAAGGTTTTCTGCAGTGCTTTTTAAACTGGCATTTTGACATCCACTTCACTTCATGCAGTGACTGACAGGTTGTTTGGAGGTGAGAAAGTTGTGAGGAATTGAATTTTATATATTCCATCACTTTTCAGCCATACAACGGAGTGCACTTATGAGTTCTTTGGGGAAAGCTTTCATCCACATTTTGAAAAAAACACACTTCATCTTCCATTATTCTCTATCCCTACTGTCTCCTGGCATGTAACACATTTAGGAACTAGGTATGAACTGACTTAATACTTTTTGTAATTTGGGAATACTGAGCTCTTTTTAAAAACTTTTTAAATAATCCTAACATCAAGCCCCAAACGTTTCACAATGAGATGCTTAGCTGATGTGTTTAAGCTGCATTCATAGTGCCAGGGGTTCGTGTCTATTTCATGACTGGAGAAGCCCCCTGCGATTCGTCATGCACCCAACCCACTAACCCAACCACTTCCACATTATAAGCAGCTTTTCTCCTTATGCATGTGGGACCAGGCAAGTACACCAACTTTCCTGCTTAATGTGGCCCCCCAGAGACCCTCCCCCAGTCGTGACTGAAATATTAATGTTCCTCATCCCCTCTCCCCAATGTAATTAACCCATACTTGTTAAGTTCATGTCCTGCTTTCTCTCAATCTGGGACACAGCAGAGGTGTGCTCTTCCTCAATCCATCCCTGAGAAGCTCTTCATATCCTCACAGTCCTTTGTCTTGTTGTACGCGAGTAACAGCCTCTCAGGGTCACAATTACAATATGTAACCCAAATGTATAAAGTCTAACTTTTGTCAGTGCAATCTCTGGAAATGTAGTTCATGCCAGGGGTAAATATATCACCCAGCTCATTCAGGGGAGCATCACAAAACAAGCTCAGGTCTGATCTGTTCGTTTGTCTGTGTGTTTGTGTGTCCGTGCGCTTGTGTGTGTGTGTGTGTGTCCGTGCGCTTGTGTGTGTGTGTGTGTGTGTGTTCCTCTGTGTATGCGGCGTGCCTGCTTGAGTGCGGATGTATGTTCCCCCCTCCTCCCCCCCAGCTCAAGTTTGACAGCGACGGAGTGTGTGTTTGCTGCGAGCTTCAGAAGCAGAGCTCCAGCTGCAACAACCTGGGAGAGACGCTCAAACTGAACCCGCTGCGGGACTGCAATACCATACGCTTACGTCTCAAGGTGTGTGGAGAGGGAATTTACAGGCAATCCTGTTTTCAAATGCAAAAACATCTGATCCAGATACATTTTATTTTTTCTCTAAATTTGACTTTTTACATACTCATGGAGGTGTAAGTCAAACTGTTTGACCTGTGACTGTGGTTGTGACGTGCCCGGTTAGTTCTGTCTTTTCCCTCCTCATGTCAAGGTTTGTATTATTATTTCTTTTCACGTAGCATCATATGCAACCATGGGTCATCGGAGCTGGCTTTAACTACTATGCGATATTATTGTAAATGACAGAAGTCATTTGGGAAGGCAGAAAGATAAAAAAAAATCAGTGTGAATTGAAGTACAAATCTAGTTGTCAATTTGATTTGCAAAAATTATAGTTCATGCATTTATTCATTCAATTTCTC